TATGTATGATCTGCATTTTTCATACATGTATGGAAATAAATTCATACGTTACATACATAGAGGTTCATACATTACATATTTTCTGTATTACCTGAGAAACCACCTTTAGTCAACACTTTAGCTACATCAATGACTTGAGTCAAAAGTTTCATCATAAATCATTAATACATGATTGGATAATTGTGCACTCCATGTTTCAGATCCAAAATATCAAATGAAATTATTATTAAATTATTATGTGAATTTATGGATATCAATATTGATTGATTAAGTTAATTTGCAATAATAATAATAAACCTTTAATTTCATGAATTATTATTATTATGAATAGTAATAGGGAATAACTTTTGGTCTTTGCTTGAAAAAATAGAGGAAACAATAGATCATTAACACTAATAAATAAAACTCTGTGATAGAATCATAAACTTTTAAAAATAAAATACAAATAAAAACATTGTTTTTATTTTCTTTGTTTAAAGCACTTTTATAAAAGCAACAAGTGTAGTTAGTTAATTCATTGGTAAAAGGCAACAATTGTGGAGCTTTGGTAAAAATCCGCATTTTATTTTCTTTAGTGAGCAAGCAAGATTAGGTATAACTAATAATGAAGTAACATCCAAGGTTAATTGGAAATACTGGTAGTGTTATTGTAATTGTAAATGTAAGACTGTTAAATAAGTCAGTTAATTGCAGGCAACTGACAATAATTTGGTGCTTGTCAATTAATTTACAAATTTACCTTAGTTCTTGATTACTGCCTTTTTATGAATCTGTGAGCATACTCAATGGTACTAGTTAACTGTAAATAAATAAAGATGGCCCTTTTATAAACCATAAAGTTCTTTTTATTCATTTGTGATTGATTTATTTAGTCATTTACACTTACTTATTGGCCAATTGCCAAATTCACTTTGGTTTATTTGCAAAACAATTTAACTGACAAGAATAGCCCAAAAGTTGAGCCATCAATCAAGATGATACATCGCAGTATCATCATTTAACAAGAATCAAAAAACAGTAAAACGTTTATTATTTGGAGCATGCTCCAACAAAACCAGACAAAGTGAACATTGGTATTTACCAAGGGTTTCAGGGATCAAAATTTAGTCATTATCATCACAATTTTATAATGTCCCATTTGTTATCTTAAGTGATATATAGAACTATCCCTATGTAAAAATAGTTGATATGAAACTAATTTACATTAGGTCTACTATGGAACCCAAGAATTACAGCACCATTAGAAGGATTTTGAAGAAAGAACAAGGTGAAAAAATTGCTCCTTACATTTTCAAAATAAATGACACTCAGAAACTTGAAGCTTATCTAAGAAAAGAAAGGATTGCTTATGAAATTTACCATGAAAGAAAAATAATAAATGTTAGAAAAAGAAAGCAGAATGAAGATGTGCTATTACCTAACAAAAAGTAAAAACATTTGGAAGAAGAAAAATAAACTTATTTTTATTGTTAAATACCGGTCTATTTTTTCTTTTTAACCCTTTTAACAGCATAAATCATAGCAATTATAAAACCTAAAATTAAAGTTACACCTGCTATTCATAATGAAATAGATTTATCATCATAATTTCCTTTATTTTTGAAATATTGTTTTTATATTCCTCAGCTTTGGCAAAATCTTCATCTTTTAAGTCAGAGACAGTAGTTTTAATATGATTATATTTGTAATCAGAAAAAATGTAAATCTTATTTTTATCAGTAACAATGTAGCTGCCTTTTCATTATGTTGGATATCATAATAAGATATCAAAAGCCAGGATATTTTCTTTAATTTTATCTAAAAGACAGTTGGAATGAATTTCATTTATATTAGAGGAAAATACTTCCTCAATATTCTTTAAATTACTTTCTTATTTTCAATCAAGGTCATTTCTTAGTTTCTTTAATTTCAATTTGTGCAGTTTGTTGAGTTTCCTGTTTCCTTAATTGCTCAACCTCACTTTCAAGCCTTTGAACCTTATCCCAATAATTCTTTCTTTTGATTACTATGCCAATCCTTTGAAACTTCTAAGGCTTCCAAATGAGAACTGATTTCTTCCTTAGCACTAGTTAGTTGTTGTTTCAAGTCTTTATTTTGTTGTTCTAATCTACCCATATAACTCTGAGCCATTATTTCTGATATTGTCAGAGTTTTAACTAGTTCATCTTTCCTTAAATCACAAAAGCATTCTATTCTGTTTCTCACAATCATTAAAATGTTGAATTATACATTCAGTTTTATCTACTATTGCTTTTAATTCATTGCTGTTTTCACCAAGTTTAATAAAGCAGGCTTTGCAGTAACATAATTTGTTACTAGAACCATGTTTTTGTTTTGTTTCAACAATGTAATATTTCAAAGCTTTAACCATTGGAATAAAAGAATTGTGGAATTAATGACTGTATACACTTGAAAAATATGGATATTAATATGTTTTCAATAATTGATAATAATTAAAGAATGTAGGGGTAATTTTTTTATTCATTATATATACTCATTATTATTCTTCTTATTAATAATAATAATAATAAAAATATAGAAATCATGGAACATATTTATACAGTTACTATAATAATAATAATAACATACCACAGAATACGATAATCAGTTTAATAATCAAGTAGCATTACGAACCCCCCATTACAACATCTGGTAAAGTAATCTGTTAATTGTTAATAGGATTTTACAGTGTAATATTTTATCACTACAGAAAATAATCGTTACTGATAGATCGTACATTCATATGTACATACGTACATATGTAAATTTCCTCGTATGGATGTACGACCACAACGAAACTGTACAAACTCAATGGTATGAAGTCAGTCATACATATGTATGAAGATTCTTCTCGTACAGTGAAATTTCACAACCCTGATTAGAACCATTATATTTATTATTATTTTTCATATACACCTATCCCTATATATAATTTTATAATTTCATGTTCACTTTGTAGGTTTTCATTTATTTTAAATTGAAATTGGTCCTGTGGTGACAAGCAAAGT